ACATCAAAGTGAGAAAAATTCGAGAGGGAGAGCAGAAGAGGGATTCAAAGAGGCAAATGAGACAGACACAACGGTAGGAAAAAGGTGAGGTGAGTGCTGTGGAGGTAGTCGAATATGGCATACAGTGGGGTGATGGTAGTTTGAGAGGTCGAATATGACATACAGTGGGGTGATGGTAGTTTGAAGGATGTCGAATATGACATACAGTGGGGTGATGGTAGTTTGAAGTTTCGAATATGACATACAGTGGGGTGATGGTAGTTTGAAGTGGAAGTAGACGAATATGACATACAGTGGGGTGATGGTAGTTTGAAGTCAACTGCCGGTTAATAGATTTTTTGCCGTATGGGTCTGTTGCCCAAATATGACATACAGTGGGGTCATGGTAGTTTGAAGTCAGAGGTCAACTGCCGGTTTATAGACTTTTTGCCGTGTTAGGGTTAGATCAACTGCCGGTTTATAGACTTTTTTGCCGTATGCGCATACACAATGACATACAGTGGGGTGATGGTAGTTTGAAGTGAGAAGTTGTGACATATAGTGGGGTGAGGGTAGTTTGAAGTCAGAAGTCCACTGCCGGTTTATAGACTTTTTGCCGTATGAGTATACTTTGTAACATACAGTGGGGTCATGGTAGTTTGAAGTCAGAAGTCAAGGCATACAGTGGGGTCATGGTAGTTTGAAGTCAGTGGTCAACTATACAGTGGGGTGATGGTAGTTTGAAGTGAGAAGTCAACTACCAGTCAATAGACTTTTTTCCGCATAAGTATACGTTGCCCAGGGTGCACCACATGGAGGTTGTAAGTACACGTTGCCCAGGGTGCACCACGTGGAGGTATGCCGTTTGAGTATACGTTGCCCATTGGTTTATAGACTTGTTTGCCGTATGAGTATACGTTGCCCGTCAATGGGGTGATGGTAGTTTGAAGTGAGAAGTCAACTGCCACAATGGGGTCATGGTAGTTTGAAGTTAGAAGTCAACTGCCTTTAATAGACTTTTTTGCCGTATGAGTATACGTTGCCCAGCGGTTTATAGACTTTTTGCCGTATGAGGTCTGTTGCCCAAATATGACATACAGTGGGGTCATGGTAGTTTGAAGTCAGAGGTCAACTGCCGGTTTATAGACTTTTTGCCGTGTTAGGGTTAGATCAACTGCCGGTTTATAGACTTTTTTGCCGTATGCGCATACACAATGACATACAGTGGGGTGATGGTAGTTTGAAGTGAGAAGTTGTGACATATAGTGGGGTGAGGGTAGTTTGAAGTCAGAAGTCCACTGCCGGTTTATAGACTTTTTGCCGTATGAGTATACTTTGTAACATACAGTGGGGTCATGGTAGTTTGAAGTCAGAAGTCAAGATGTCAACTGCCGATTAATAGACTTTTTTGCCGTATGAGCATACGTTACCCAGGGTGCACTAAGTGGAAGTAAGTCTATCGCGCATCCCTTACTTGGGATGTAATTTTGATGTTAAACTGAACCCACGATCTTTTCACATTCAAAATCTAATGACAACGTTTACTACCCTATTATTGATTGGCCTCATTAAATAACATCTCCCTTTAATCAACTAACTGAATTTCAGGAAATATAAATTCTTTGTAAAACTGTGCTGAGAACAAACTAACAATCTGTTTGAATTTAGAGATCTTTAAGCTGAGTGGAAGACAGCCACAATTTTAGGTGAATTTTCAGTCACGTGTAATTACGCGATATGTCGCTGACCCAAATTTCCATTAAATTTCGCCAAATTTCATTGAAATATTACTTAAGCTTCACTTTGTTTACATGTACTTAGCAAACTCCTCTCAAAAATAGGAGAATGCAAAAAAACAACGAGAATGATTTCTCCTTTTCCTGTAATGGGAGTTGAAAAATAAAGCGTAAAAATGACACTTTTAAAAATGCTGCAACATTTAGCGTTAAACGAAGTACTATTAAAGGGCTAGACCAAATTGCCTATTGCTGGCAATATTAGCAATATTGCGGAGACCAGATAGAGATTCCTGATGACCTCCAAATTGTCCTGCCAAAGCAAATGACATTTAACGGTAGAACTGCAGAGCTTAGTTCAATTCAACTAGTATGTAATTAAAGGAACATGTATTGGTCTGCTAGAAATAAAAATACCATACTTCTTAATTTTGACAAAACTACCAAAGATGAGAGAAAGGTGATTGAAGTACTGTCAGAGGTCATTTTCATATATCGAAATTAATTGCAAGAAAAATCGATCAAGACGGAAATTCGATGGAGGCATTTGCTTCGGAAAATTTAACTTTTCAGACATATTTTAAACATTAGAAAGGTGATTTAATCTTATAGCCTATAATTATATAAATATCTTATTAAGTTATATAATAATTTTCAATTATAAGCGAAATTAGTTCATTTTATTTAATTTTTTATGTTTTCCGCTTCCACAAATGGCCTATACAAAAATTGTGAAATTAATTGGTATAGAGTGCGTTGATAATTGAAATTACAAATACGATACCAATGGTTTAATAATTAGATGATCTTTCCTCCAATTTTACATTTTAAATTTATATTTTCAACATACAGCTGGGTGACTTTGTTCCAAGATCAACAAAAATATCATTTTATAGTTGGGACCATGAATGTTTTCATAACCATGGCATTTGATTTCTAAGATAATGAACAACATTGTATGCCATTGTGTTGTACGACTGCCAAGTTACTTTAATACAGAAGCATTTCAGAGCAAAATAATGAAAGGATAGTAAAGTGAAGGAATTACTAAATACAAATTTCAATGTCAATTTTTATTTTTCAATTCTGATCAATGAAAGTGAAGTGGAATTTGAATTCGCAATATTACAGATGTTTACAATTCTGACGAAGACATAATTACGGAGAAAGGGAAAGAAAATTTTAAAAATAACTTCAGAATTTAATTATTAGACTCTGATTGTAAATTTGGCACTCCATTAATTCTCTCATAAAAATTTTATATTTTATTATTTATCGCTTGAAGTACCAATCGAATGGCAGGCCATGCTGATCAGCCTGTCTGCGTTAAATCAGCCAATATTTTAAAAAGATCAAAAAATGTACCGATTCGAATTATCCATCAATAACGTTGATCCTAAAGAGAATTTTTTTCATTGTTTCCCCAAACAAGTTAATAATAATAATAAAGTTTGCTTAATGAAAAGATTTTTCTAGAATAACACTGATTGTAATAAAAAGACTGATTGACTTTGATAATATCCTAATATTATTATATTTTCAACGTTTCCCAAGCTTCCTAAAACCTTATTTTGATGGTTTTGACAAAAATATTTGAAATTTAAATGGAAAAATTTTGGAATTTGATTTTCCCATTCGTTTAATGTTTAAATTTAGAAGTGTCAAGGGACGACGTCTGTGTCTGAGCTATATTTATGGATTGTTTATATTTTTGGTAGAGAAATGCTAATTTCTGTCTCTAATTATCTTAGTTGGCCCATTGAGAATTTTAAGCATCCTTGCTTAACACCCAAGTAAATGATCTGTTGCATGAAAATAACACCTACTTATAGCCAGTCTCTGTGACCAACCAATCAGGATAATGGCCAGGAATATATATATAAATTTGAGCTTAAACTAATCGTACGTGGGTGTGGTCATAATTTCGGTTATTTTTCAAGCAAATATTTGTACTCATGTCTTCCAGCCATTGCTTCATTACTTTCACCTGTTTTCTATTAATCATGTTTATCAACATTACGAAAACTAGAACAATACCGGTGAGTACTTTATTCTAACTTTTATAGTTAAAAGTGAGGGACATTTGAACTAATAATTTTCAGTTTCGCTTGTTTTAAACAAACATAAAATCGAGTTATAAACAAATTTTAAAAATGTTTATACCAATAAGCTTGTTTATTTATAAGCAATATTATATTCAATACTTGTTGACACAAATTTAAAGATGCTTTATTTATTTTCATGTAAATTTTATGCACACACACTATTGGAAGGCTTTGATTAGCGACAAGACAATTTAATTGATTTGAATTAAAACCAAGTCCGGTCTTGAAGGTATTAACTTTTTTTGACAAATTCGGCAAATGCCTTAAAGGATTTTTTTCCTTTTAGGTTAATTTGATTTCAAGTGACAGAGTGGATGAGGCATTTGATATCTGCTTGGAAGACCTTAATTCTGGCACCATAACGGGCAAAGGCATGGAGCAATGTTTAATGATGGAACTTAAAAGAATGGCATTGGAAAGAAATCAGGAAGAATTGACTTTCCCCACTAACTTCGAGGAGTAGATCTCCTTCATTAAATTCCGACTTCATCTACCTGATTTCCTTTCCAGTGTCTGCATTTTACGCACTCCTTTTAATCCTTTATTGGCGGTGGTGGTTCATTCAGTTTCAAGAAGATTCGTCTTTTTACTCTATTCCTAAGTGTGTACTAATAAATCACTTTCTGTGGATGATTTTTTGCTTCAATTACAAATATACCATAGAATTCTTAAAAACCAGAAAGATATATCACTTTTAAAGATATTTGTCGGAAAAATATACTTTTTAAGTAATAAAAACGCCTAACATCGAAGGTGATTGCTTTCGGGAAGTAGGAATATGAAATGAGCATATGCTTTTTCTATAAATTAAAAATAAAATTTCTGCCTCGATTTTTACCAGAAGCGTCTACGATGCATTTGATTAATTGTTGCAAATTACTTTTACTTCAATGCCAATTAATAAAAAATGGAAAGATTTATTTGTGACATTATTTGTTGAATTGTAATGAATGATGATGATTTTAAGTGTGTGACGAAATAAGGGCATAATTTTATTCTACTATTTGTCGTAATTACTACAAAGCCTTAGAATATATGACCTTGGAATTGTATAGTTCTCTGTCTAATTCCTTGGCGTATTCGACAACACAGGCTTAAAATGCACAGAGCGAAATTTGACGATTCTGCTTGAGAATACTAAGGAGATGATGGCAATATCCCACGTCTTCATCAATTCGATGACTTGAAGTCAGTTGATCCTAATTAAATGAAAAATAATTAATACGAAATTTAATTATGAATGCTTTCAAGAATGTTTAAGAAGCACTTAAGGTTGGATGCAAAAATTTAATCTACAAGTGTTGTATTTATTTTAATATTTTAACACGATTGGTTTTAAAAATCCAACGAGGTTAATTGATAACAATAATCAATGAAAATTATTTAAAGAGACTTTGCTGCATTAAATAAAATCGATCTAGAAGAAATTTGATTGGTAATTTCTTTGACCAATTATATTATTATTATTAATTAATTTACATAAGAATAATAAAATCTTATCAGCTCCCCCAAAAAGAGACTTTTGTGACATTTTAGTGGATTGCTACACGAATATCCAGGTATAAAAAGGCTCCCAGAAGAAGTTGAGTCATAGGCGACTTTCTACCCATGCCAAACATGATTATTTATTGAATACATTTGGTTGATTTCTTAGGAAGTCCTCTGCATGCACAACGCACTCTCTTCCTCGTGGAATGTTTGAGCGGGCATTCGATTGCTAAATTGACTCGTGTCAGAATTGCTTATTGCAGACACCACAATTGGTTAACTTAACCGAATCAATAGGAGATATGAGGCAAATTTTGTTAGCACTCATTAAACACCAACATCAAACAAGTTTGTGATATTTCCCCACAATTTAATGAAATCCCAAATTAAGTACCTATTATTGTCTTTTTTTATGATTACAGCCCTTTTATTATCATTTACATAATCATAATTCAAAATAAGCTATAAAAGTAATTTTTTTAAATCAACCCACCATTAATCTTTCATGCACAACTGAAGCATGTGTTGAGATTGCAAGGAGAAGGAGTGAAAAGAGGGCAGCCACGATACGAAGTAGAAACATGGTCAATCACGAAAACGAACACAGCTACCAGGTCGCCCGGAGAAATATATATGCGTCTCCATATAACCGCCCCTCTCCCTTATATATACTATCCGTTTCAAATGTAATTGGCAGGTTATAATTATTAGTATTTACATGGGCCACGGATAATTGAGGTCTAATTAATTCAAGGAACAGCTAGATGTGGAAATTTGGGACATTTTAATTTTGCTTATCTCTGAGTTATTATTGGCGAAAAATGAGAATTTTCATAGCAAAAGTTACACTCGTGTGGAGGAAACGCGAAAAATTTGCTTGGTACCCTACTTTAATGTGCTAACAGTATTGATCCAATTTCCTAACAAGGGTTTTACCACTCTATCGATTAGAGGGGGTTGGGGGGGG